GGTCAGCCGCCGCTCCACGACCGCGAAGGTCAACCGTGGACACATGCGCCACGCCGCGGCATCGGAGCTCGCGCCGCGGGGAAAAGTGCTGAACGCGCCTTACGGTAGCCAGCCGCCCGGGCCACCACCTGGCGCCCCGCCAGGGGCCTCAGGGCCCGCACCTCCACCAGGTCCTGGAGGAGGCGGCGGCGGCGCAGGCGGCGGGCCCCCACCGCCTGGCCACGGCGGAGGACGCGATGGCCCCGCACCGCGAGCAGACGGCGAGGACACCTTTCTCGACCTCTCGGGTCCTACACCTCAGAAGCGCCCCCGCAGCGAACTGCAGCCCCCACCACCAGCGCTACCAGCACCAGCGCAGCAGCCAGCCATCCAGGCGCGCAACTTCGGCAATATCGAGAACGCCGAAGCGAACCAGCGCGCCCATCAGCACGCCGAATGGCTGGCACGCAAACAAGGGCACGGTGATTTCGCAACCAGTGGAGGAGCTAGCTTCAGTGGAGGACCAGCCCCACCGCCTGCGGGAGGAGACGCGGCGCCGCCGCTGCCACCGCCACCGCCAGCGGCGCCGCCCCCTGCGGCACCCGACATGGACTCAGGCGCTGCTGCCGCCCCTGCAGCCGCTGATCATCCTGCTGCCCCTGCCGCCGCAGATTGTCATCAACATCCTGAACCCGCGCTTCAGGGCCCGGTCGACGACGCCGAGGACGACGGGGCGTCCGATCATGAACCCGCACCTCAGGGCCCGGTCGACGACGCCGAGGACGACGGGAAGTCCGACAGCTCTGGATCGGACATGATTCGGGAATGGCAAAAGGCCGCGGAAAAGCAGTCTCGACAGGAGACAGTGGCAAGGCGCCCACTACACACCGAGAACCAGCGCGGCACGAAGGCACAACGACAGGTTCACCAAGAATCCGCACCGCACGCTCTTCGACGCGACCGCGAGCTCGACCCGCGCGAGTGCGCAGCCAAGCGCAGGGAGCTGTTGGACGACTTGCCCAAGTGCTTCAAGAGGCCGAAGGACACGAACAGTGTCGACCTCTACCTGGACAACTACTTCCAGAAGCACGCGGACGAGCTCTACGCAAGCACGCGACTCCGCGAGGCACTGCTCACGGGCAACGCGACCGCCAAGGAACTCAAGTACGATACCCTGGGCGCCACCAAGGAGAAGAACATGGAGGCCGCCACGAAGACCGACTGGCCCAACTGGGCGGAGTTCGGCGCCTACAGGAAGCTCCCGCCCAGGGAGCTGAAGGAGCTCATGCGGCGCGACCCTGGCATCCGCCCTGCGGGCGCACGCTGGGCGCTGACCAGCAAGGGCCGGAACGTCACGAAGGCCGTCTTGTCGCGCAGGGCTGCCAGGAGGACAAGTCACAGATCAGGACGGACGCGCCTACGGGGTCAAGGGACGCGCTGCACCTTATCCTGGCCGCCGCGGCCCAGGAGAACTTGGACATCTCGCCCTGCGATGCGATGGCGGCCCACCCGCAGCCAGGAAGCACCGAGAGGCTGCTGCTCCTGCGCATGCCGGCCAAGAACCCGCCGCCGGGGACGCAGCCTGGCGAGATCGCGATGGCCACAGCGCGGGCTACGGGACGCGCGACGCCGGGAGGCAGCGGGACCTCCACGCCCAGAAGGTCTTCGCCGAACACGGCCTCGCGGAGAGCAAGCTCGAGAAGGGCCTTTACTACTTCTACGACGAAGGTGGGCTCGCCGCGGCTATCCACTCCCACGTGGGCGACTTCCTGATCGCCCAGCGCAACAACTCCACCAAGTGGGAGTCCGCGATTGCATCGCTGAAGAAGAAGCTACACCACAAGCATTTCGACGGGGTCATCAAGCACTGTGGACGCACAATCACCAAGCTCGACCACGAGTTTCGGGTGACCCAGGCCACCGCCGCCTCGCAGGTGGACCACATCGACCTGAAGGTCTCGAAGGGCCGCAATGCCGAGGATGGGCTGACCGCCACCGAGGTGACGAGCTACCGCCACACTTTCGGGCAGCTGCTATGGCTAGCAGTCCAGACCCGGGAGGACATCGCCTGTCCGGTGAGCTTTGCAGCCCGCCGAGCCAACGTCGCCACCGTGGCCGACGCGAAGACCCTGAACAAAACCGTCGCCTACGTGCACTCGACCGCGAACTTCGCGATCGTACTGAAACGCAGGCCCGTCGACCTGATGACGGCCACCACCGCGTGCTTCGGCGACGCTGCGTTTGCCAGCGTGGACGGGGTCAAGAGCCAGTGGGGCATGGATGGGGATCACTCACCGCCCGCGCGATGTCGTCGGCGGCCGCCACGATCTTTGCCTACCCGTGGCCTGGCACTCGGGCACAGTCAAGAGGTCGGTGAAGTCGACCCTCGCTGCCGAGGGCTACGCGACCCTCAAGGGATCGGAGACCAACAATTGGTTCCGCCAGGTGCTGACCGAGGCCTACAAGACCAAGACGGCGCCCAAGCTGATCGACGCTCTCGCCGACAAGCGCCCTGGGGAGATCTACAGCGACAGCAAGGGTCTCGTGACGCACATCGCTTCTGATGCGGGCCAGTCTACCGACAAGCGGTTCCGCATCGTCGCCTCCATGATCAAGGAGGCCGTGCACCCCAACAGCGCACTCAAGCTCAGCTGGATCCCGACCTGGGCCATGGTCGCGGACGCCTTGAACAAGACGATGGAAGCCGGCGCCCTGCTGGCCTTCTTCGAGGCCCGTAAGCACAGGTACGGAACCCGGCAGCCGCATGCCGCCGTGCTCGCCTCAGTCCTGTTTACCTGCCTCGGCAAGGTCAAGGGACAGCCTACGCCTACGCCGACGGTGCCGGACTACAGCTTCTACATCTGCCTGCTGACGTTCACGCTGTTCCTCGGCATGGCTATCGGCTTCGGCATCTTCATGACGCTCTGGACGATCATGAGGCAAAACAACATGATCGCTACCGAGGAGAGCGTCGCCGAGGCGAAGGCACTGGACGAGCATCCCGGCTGGGACGGCCGCATGATTGGCCGGCGCCGTAACACTCCAGCTTCCCATCCCCGAGGATCGTGACCACGACGGCAACATCACGATGTACCCCTCGGATGGACACAGCAGTGCGCAGGCACGAGTTCAGCAGCATCGGCTTCAGGCGTCTCTTTCGGACACCACGCATCGCAGCCGACGATGCCAGCACCACCGCCTGCGATTCAGCAGCCACCGCTGCCGCCGGCACCACCGCCTGCCAGCGCACCACCTACCGCAACATCAGCACGATCGAGGTCAGCGGGATCTCAGAGTCTGGTTCAGCCCCTACCTCACCAAGCATAGTCACCGTATCGAGTTCATCGAATTCTGTATCTGCGAGTGTGGTTTCGTGGAACGGTTCCTCACCGAAGGTATCGTCGAACGAGATGCTCAACTGTGTGACCGCCGTCCCCCGCCATGATTTCATAATCGGACATACGTCTACATGACGCGCAAGACCTGCAAGAAGCACTCGACATGGCTTCTCCGATTCTACAAGAACAGCAATCCCGATTTCACGAACTTCCCGGAAGGCGTGATGAATGATCTCATGGGCCGTTGGAGGAGGCTCACCAGCAGAGAATGCTGTCGCGGACCTGACCTGATGAACAAACCGACGAAGCCCAAGAAGGATAACTGAATCCAGCTCGGTGTCCGGACGGCAGGTTGGCCGGTCGAACCGGCTAATATTATGCTGCTGTTGCTAGACGGCCGCCTCTTGCTACCCCGCTTACGTAAGTCTGAAGTGTTGCTCAGGTTTCACACCGGACTTACACCTAAATACGTTTTTATAGAAGCTGCACTCAGTGTGCACAAGTTTTGTTTCAAAGATGTGATGACGATCGCACCCATCAACATCTTATCTCGACAAGATAGCTATTTTGAGTTCTGTCGTTTCGCGATCGCACTCCTGCTATTGCTAGTCTTGCCTGGTTTTGATTATAGCGCCGGCGGCGCTGAGAGCTGAGAATATCCTGCAGGTCGCGTGTAGCGCAACCGCTTAGGTGCCCCAAGGGCTGCCTGCAATGCAAGCCGTGTCGAGCCGTTTGCTCGCCTTCTACCAGCACGCCTGGCACTCCGCTAAATGAAGATAGCGCCAGGCTTGTATTCCCGGCTGCTCCGGCGCCCCGTGCGCCCGCCTGGCGCCGCTTGAGCACCGTGCAGGAGGAGTGTGATTCCAAAAGACTCGCTGCTCTTCTCACTCGCCCTCTGCCGCTGCTGCTCAGCTGTCCGGAGTCCAGGGTCTCTCTGCCGCCGCCCGTTTCGCTCGAATCGTTTTCCAGCGCCCTTGGCTATAACTGAGCTACGACCTCTGGCGCGCAGAGCGAGAGAACAGCATGATCAGCGACACTCTTCCATCTCACGGCTGCGGCTGCTGCGGCCCCAGCCTCCTGCTCCTGGGGAGCTCCCTGGGGGCCGCCGGCAGCTGCCTGCCTCTGTGCGGGCGGTCCGCCCCTGTGCGGCCGCCCGCCGTCTGGCGGCGCCGCACCTCCGCCGGTGCCGCCCACTCCTGGGGACGTCCGCGGGCCTGCCACCCGTCCACGGCCCCTGCCGCTCACGGCCCCCGCGGAGGCGTCCCTCCCGGCGTCCGCGTCGCACTTCGGCGCACCCCTCGCACGGGCCGTGCCCCAGAGTGGGCCCCAGGTGCGGCCCCCGTGGGAAAGTCCGCGTGGCGTCCCCGCATCAGCCCGGCACACCCCTCGACCCCTCACACAGGGCTGTGCTTCGCAGGCAGCTCCAGCTCCCTCCCTCCTGCGGTGGGCAGTATACGACAAGAGGGACACCCCCTGCGAGGAGAATCCGCCAGGTGGCAAACGCCTCCCAGGCAGGATGACCGAGTCGGGCACCAGCAGGAGGACGAGGAGCACAAGGGGCAGAAAGGAATGGGGCCGTGGGGCCTGTCGGGCCCCAGGGCGAGTCCTCCAGGAGCGGGACGAGGAGATGGACGGCGACGTCGAGGGGAGGACCGCCTGCCCCCCTCCCGAAGCCCCCGCGTCCTGCGTCCGCTCCTGCGGCCGCCCCTGCGTCCGAGTCGCTGTCCGCCGCCTCCACGCCATCGTCGGAAGAGGATCCCGACACGGCGCCGTCCTCGGGGGGGATGCCGGCGGATGCGCGCTGCCGCCGAAGAGCTCTCGTGGCCCGTCCCAGGCCCTGGCCCTGGACCGAAGCGGGGAGGCGTGTTGACCTTTGACCCCCCTCTCGATTCCAGTTCCCCGTCCTTTCCCACCCCCTGCCACCCCCCAGCAGGAGGGGGAGGGTGGAGAGGAGAAGGGGGAATGGAGCGGAATCGTGAGGGGAAACGAAGGCGCGAGGAGAGGGGGAAAGAGAGGTGAGAGGAGACGGTCAGTGGAGGAGAAGGGAGGGGAGATAGACGGAGAAGGCGGAGGGGAAGGGGGCGAGGCGAAAAGGGGAGTGGGAGGGGAGGGGGAGCAAGATTAAGGAGTAGGTCCGTTGAGACCGAAGCCGTTCCTCAATGACCTGGAGTTCAACTCACATTTTTCCCTCCATGTCTTCTCGTGCGTGATACCCATATGCGCATCCCGAGCCGAACTGAAAGATGCAGGGACATTCGGGAGGACGAGGGGGAGGGGGAGGGTAAGGGATGATGAAGGGGACGGGGAAGACATCCGAAGGCGTCAGACGGGCCAGGTGAGCCCGAAGACGACCCGAAAGGCCCCCAAGAGGCCACAAAGCTAACTCAGCCCCCAAGAGCCCTCCCTGAGGCCCTCAGGAGGCCACCAGGAAGCCCTCAGGAGGTCCGAGAAGAGCCCAAAGCAGTCCTGAAAAGGCCTCCTCCTCCCCCCCCCCCTCCTCCTCTCCTCCTCCTCCTCCTCCTCCTCCTCCTCCTCCTCCTCCTCCTCCTCCTCCTCCTCCTCCTCCTCCTCCTCTTCACTATCATCTCTTGCTCTGGGCAACGAGGCTGCCGACGAAGTGGAGGGCCTCGCAGCTCGGGAGGCGAGAGTGTACCAGCAGCCTCGAGCTCGTGAGGCCCAGGCTGAGCACAAGGCTAGCCTGGTGCGCGCCCGCCTCCTGTGGGCGAACGTGGAAGCAACGCCAGTGGAAAACCGTGTTGCCGTGAAGAAAAAGGATCGGTGCCCCCCGCCCTCGGCTGCCTTCCTCGCCTTCTTTAGATCCCAACACCTTTTGGTTCAGCTGACGGGCAGAGTTGCTCCAGATGTCACAGCTGTTCGTCTGAAGCTTGCCTGGCCGAATGGAGAAAGACGCCATGCGTTGAGCTTGAGAGCCAGGCCAATTCGTCAGTGCTGAGGCTACCGATGGGGTCAATCTATTCACATCGGGGGTGGGTCAACCCACCCGTCTCACACGATGTTGTTCCTCACCAGCCTCAGACTATGGTTATGTGGCTCGTGCGCTTATTTCGGTAGCTCCCGATGTCGGCCTACGTTGGCCAAGCAGTGTTTGGTTTCCCCCGAGCTCGGTCCTGAGGGAGGGCCAGGCGACATATCACGTCGACTGGGCAGGTTTACCTTGACAGAATTTAGAAGGGGTTATGGCCCAAGTAGAAGTAGCCTACTCTAGCCCGGGTCAAGGTTGGGGGGTGGTTAGGTGATGTTAGTTGGCTTGGTGATAGGTCGATTTCATTCCATTCCTCCTCCCCCTCCTCCTCCGCCTTCCTTCTCCTTTTCCTGCTCCTGTTCCTCATCCTCCCCCTCCTCGCCCTCCCTCTGTCCACCGCCCCAGCACTGGACCCCATTAGGTCTGGTGTCCACCGGGGCCTGGCGTGTGAGCACGCGTCCAGCCTGGCCACTGCCGACAAACTGGTAGCACGTGTATATATAGAGTTGTTTATATATGTGTATGCATACATGTGTATGTATGTGTGGCTGTGAGATGTATATGTATACATTGTTGTATATGCATATGTGATATGTGTATGCAACGTACATGCGTACAGCCATACGTGTGTATGAATGCATACATGCACGCGTGCATGTGTGTATGTATGTATGGATGGATGCATGCGTGCATGTATGTATAGATGTAGCTGTGTGTATGTATGGGCATGTATGTTTGACGGCATGCATATATGCACGCATGCACGCATGTATGTATGCATGTGTATATGCATGTGGATGCATGCGTGCGTGCATACATGTGTGCATGCATGTATGTATGTATGTATGTATGTATGGATGGATGGATGGATGGATGGATGTATGGATGTATGTATGTATGTATGTATGTATGTAGGCATGTGCGCATGTGTGTATGTATGTATGTATGTATGAGTGTGTGCATGTGTGTATATATATATGGTTGTCTGAATGTATGAATGTGGTATGACATGCATGTATGTATGTAAGTAAGTATGACTGCATGCGTAGTATGTACGTATATATGTACATAGGTATACATGTACGGATGGACGGGTGAATGTATGTATGTACGCAGGTAAGCATGTATATGCATGTATGTGTGTGAATGTATGCTTGGATGGATGGATGTATGCATGTGTGTATAAGTATGTGTTTGTGTCTGCGTGTGTAATGGGGTCTCCTGGCATGCGTCCCTGGCGCCTGGAGCCAGTTTTGAAGCCTCTTTGAGCCTCTTGAGGCCGTTTGGAGGCCTCTTGGGGCCTCCTTTGGCCCTCTTGGGGGCCTCTTGGGGCCCTGCTGGCGGTCTGGCGTTTCCACTTGGGGCAGAGGGCTCGAAATGTGACGTGGAGCTCCCCCCCTTGGGCCCCTCTTGGGGCCGTCTTGGGCCGTCTTGGGCGCCTCTTGGACCGTCTTGGGGCTCCCTTGGGCCGGGATTGGGGCACTCTTGGAGGCCTCTTAGGCCGTCTTGGGGCGATCTTGGGGGCCTTTTGGACCGTCTTGGACGCTGCTAAGACCTAAGAAACGAATATGCTGAAAATGCACATCTTCCGAAAGAAATGTTGCAATGTTGGCCATCTGGGGCGCTCCTGGGGAGCATCTTGGAGCCTGAAATCTGTCCGGGGCCGTCCACACGCAATTCGGGGGCGGTTCGTATGCCGGATTTGTCTTGGAAGAACCTTGAAGCCGAAACATTCTCCCCAGGCACCGAAAAGAACCCCCAAACACCCGGGGCGAAAGTGGATACCCCCGGGAGGGGGGAGGATTTTAGAAAAATGGGATCCCCCTGTTCCCGAGGACACGGACGCCGCTTATATATGTAGAAATAATATGTATATATGTGTGTATATATATATATGTGTGTATGTGTATATGTATATGTATATGCATATACATATACATATAAATATACATATACATATACCTGTACATATACATATACATATACATATACATATACTCGCGTCACACATGAGTTGGTCAACCCTTGCACATTGTTTTGTTCGCCTTCCTGACGGGTCTCATCGTACTCGCCGTCGCCAGCGTCGCTCTCGTCTCCGTCATCGTCAAAGTTACCGTCGCCGTCTCATTCACTGGTGCCGTCGTCGTGTTCGCCGTTGGAATTGTCACGGTTGCCGTCGTCGCCGTATCCGGCGTCGCCGTCGCCGTCGCAATCGCCCTCGCCGTCGCAATCGCCATCGCTATCGCAATCATCGGTGGCGCCGTCGGCGCTAACACCGTCGTCGTTGACGTCGTCGTCGCCATGGCCAGCGTCGCCGTCGTCGTCGCGGATGTCGCAGTCGTCCATATCGCCGGTCGCCGTCGCACTCGTCATCGCCGTTGTCATTGTTATAATCGCCGTCGGCGAAGTTTTCGCTGTTGTTGCCGCTGCCGTCGTCGCCGTCCCCTTGGCATCGGCATTGATGTCACTGTGGTCGTCGCCGTCGGCGAGGTCGTCGGCGTCGACGTTGCCGTTGCCGTGGACGTCGAGACAACCGCCGACGCTGGTAATCTCCAATGTCGCCACAGCCGTCACAACGGTTGTCGACGCTGGAGTCGCCGGCGTCATCGTCGCAGCGGGCGCCGCCGTTCGCCGTCGCCGTCGTCGCTGTGGTCACCTCCGTCGCCTTCGCCCTTGATGTCGCCGTCGCCCGTTTCTGAGCTTTATGCGAGTGGGGTTTTAAAACCATGTAGTTTTCTGGCGGGGTTATGAGAAACATACGTGGGGTAACCAATCCCACCGAATCTTGGATTCCCCAGTGCCTTCCTTTCACGATGTTACTGCGACGAGGGTCAACCAACATTTGTTGATTAATCCTGCCCGTGCCTTATTTCCAATGCGTGTCGATGAGGACCGTCCGATCATGTCACAACCGTAGCAGGTACTACCTGTGGGGCGGGCGTGCTGGACCCAACTGAAACTCACATCCCTCCCCATGCCTCTTCTTCAAGAACGGCGGCAAGCATCGACTCGCACCCGTCTGGAACTGTGTGCTTAAAAACCTACTGCTTCTAAAAAAGTGTCAATCAGCTCTGTCTCTGCCACAAAACGATGCAACTTGCTGTTGGTCAATAAGTTGCGGCTTACACCTGCACCCTCTCGGGTCCTCACGACGCCGGTTGGCCAAATCTTGAACACATTGCCGCCAGTGGGCGTCCTTGCCTCGTGACCTTCTCCTACTGCCAAGCTGCCAGCGCGAGAAGGACAGGGACGGCAACCGACGCCCGCCCAGAGGGTCTGCGGCCCCCGGGCCATCAGGAAGAACGGCCAGGGCGGAAAGCTCAGCCGCCGGGACCGCCTGGGGCCTGCCGACTCCTCGAAACAGTTGGACGCCTTGAAGGGTACGGGAAAATGGGCACGATGCCCAACAGCACACGCCGTCCAAAACCCACGGCGCGCGGCCGCTGTGGAGCAGGCGGCCTCCTGTCTCGAATGAGCTGGTCCTTTTCAGAACGAACGGGAGCTGCTGCCAGTCTTTGTACCCGTTCTTCCCGTGCCCATTTCCACCGTCCCGACGGGATCTCCTCGGGCGTCTCGACCGGGCAAGCCCAGTGCAACTAGCCCCTCCTCCTCCTCCTCCTCCTCCTCCTCCTCCTCCTCCTCCTCCTTTTTACGTTGGTCAGACTTTGAGCGTGATGCTCGCAGCGTGACCTCCTCCTCCTCCTCCTCCTCCTCATCCTCCTCCCCAGGCCACCCTGGTCCTCGGCCGGCTCCGCGCCCAGGTCGGGGGCCGCGGCACCCCGCGCCGACCCAAAATCGGCCCGCCTGGCGCATGCAAAGGCCCGCGAGTGAGGCGGGGAGCTTGGGTCGTCGTGCCTCGGCCGCCGCCGCTGCCGTCAGCGTCGTCACGCGTCGGCCGCCGCCGCCGCCGCCGTCGTCGTCCGCGTCGTTTGCTGACGGCGGCGACGTCGTCGTTGCAAGTGGGGGAAAGGAGGAAGGCTTCTCAGAAGGAGGCTGCTTCCGCCAGCCTTACACCTGTAGATGCGGCCCGCGCCTTCTAGGGAGCAGGGGTGCTTCTGAGAAGCCCTCCCCCCTCCCCCGTCTGAGCTGACTGGGCCCCGTCGGTCAGCAGGGGCGGATATCAAGTAAATCCGCTCAAGATCCGGAACCCCGAGATCCGTGCTTGACGGCCCTGGGGCCAGAAAACGCAGCCCCCAGGGGCCGAGAGAGGCTTCTCGACCCTGGAGCCTCATCTGGGCGCGAATTCATGTGGGGCGACAAATCGGGGAGGGAGAAAGGTACCATTCTCGGGCCCTGGAGGCCCCCTTTGGGGTCCTAAAGGGGGCCCAGAGGCCCCCTTTGGGGTCCTAAACGGTTTCCTTTAGGGGCCCTAAAAGGCTCCTTTTCTGCAGCCCTCGCTGCCCCCCCATGCATCGCCCCCCCATGCGCGGCCTCCTATTCCTGCTGGCCAGAACCAATGCCGGGCAACCTCAGGCACCCCTGCCGGCTCCAAGCTGGGTGGGGGGCAGCGTAAGGGAGGGCGGGCGCCACGACGAGATCGCGACGGGCGACTGCTCTCAGATTCGGCTCCCTCTGGGACCGCTTCGGGCCTCGTGGGACTCGCAGGGCGACCAGGCGCGCTGATGCCAACGTGTAACGATGGGGGTCTGGAGACTTCAGGGGGCCCAGGGCTAGTTGTGCTACGTCGCGCTTCGCGCGCTGCGAGGAGCTCGAGCGAGCCCAGGATCGAATCGTTAAGTCGGATCGGCGGCCGAGATTAATCGAATCGGCGGAAATCAGTAGCAAAGGCGGGAGATGTCGAATCGGCGGAAACGGCAGGCTAGTAAGGCCTCCATTAGGAAACCGAAATCCACACCGAAATCCGAAGTCGCATCTGATCGGAACTGGAATGGATCGAAATCCATGTGGATCGAGTCGGACGAGTCGAAATGAGCCCCTCGGGGAGGGAGCGGGCACGGTGAGTGTGTGTGTGTGGGGAGGGGGAGGGCCAAGCGCGCTCACCCTCGCGCTCTCGACCGTGGCCTGAATAGCCTGCGGCGGCTCTGCGGGCGGGGCCGGAGCCCCCCCTTCCGCGGCGACCTCGTCTCGAGACGACCCCTTCGCCGCCACCCAGGGTGTGGGTGGGGACAGGCTCCCCGAAGGTGGCTCGGAAGCAGAGCGGGAGGGGCCGTGCTTGCCCGAGGGAGCTGCTTCCTGGCGCGGCGGGAGGGGTCAGGGGGATGGGGGAGAACAACAGGAAGGCCAGAGCAAGGAGTAAGATATATAGAGAGAGAGAGAGGGCGAGAGGAACGGAAGAAGCCCAGTGAACGTGAACGCTCAACCATAAGCATGCACATCTTCGATGGCTGGACCATTTCAACAGACGCAAAATAGCAAGGCGACCTTCAAGAGAAAAGACCCGTGTGACAATCACATCCGTAAGCCAAATAGGACAAATAGGAAAGACAGGATAGGCAGACAGGACAGACATGACAAGCAGACAGATGGAGAGGGGGAGGAAAAGAGAGAGAGAGAGAGAGAAAGAGGTAGATCGAATATATGAATACAGACAGACACACAGAAAAACACACACACACACACACACACACTGACAGAGAACCAGAGAGAGAGAGAGCGACGGAGACGAAGACGGCGGTGGAGAGCAAAGTGTGACGAAGGAGGCGGGGGGCCGACGAGGGGCAGGGCAGCCAGGATGATGAGGGGGGGGGAAAGAGAAAGAAAACGTGAGAAGGGAAGGATGAGGATAATGTAAAGTGGAAGGGGGAAAGGGGAAGGGAACGTCGGAAAGGGAAATGGAGAGGGTAAGAGATTGGCAAAGGGAAAAAGCCAGACACCAGAAAGGCATTGTAGCCAGCATGAGATGGCAACGCAAGCTGAACATAAAGCGCTTGGGCCTCGAGCCGAGGTCAGCGCCGCTCCGCGAGGATGCGGCCATCTGCTCCTTGCCGCAAGCAATCAGAATGTGAGAGCCTAGAAGTGGTCTGCTGGTTTGGGGGGGAGCATGGCCAAGGCCCTCCCGCCTGATCCACGAAGGTCCGCTTGGAGAACAGCCAGGCAGCTCTGTGATTATTTGCTCTGGCCCCCCTCCCCCTGGCCCTCCCCCTCGCCCTCCCCAACCCCGACACGAAAAAAGATCATGAACACCGCGCTCAGCTCCCGCGCTCTGTGAAAAGAGCCTCTCGTGACAGCGAATGAGCTGTCGACGCTTGGAGCTGGGCTTGAGCGAACGGGTGAAGGTACATCTCAAAGACCGAAGAAAGGGGCTCCGTCTGAAGGCCTTGCTGGCCGAACTGGTGGCGGCGCGACGGACCAAGTGGGTCACAGTCAGCACGATGAGCGCGGGCATTGGGAGGCGTCGGCCGAAAATCCGCACCGCCCGCTCATGGCAAGCGTGGTGACCGTCAAACCAACGCCTGGACGATGTCGCGGTTCAGCCATCAGAGGCTGGGCATGCGACAAAAATCCATACCTATCCACTGCTCCCTGGCCAGGTCAATCCTGAACCCAGCAGCGGTGTATACGCCACGCCCTCCTGGCTTGGCCAGGAGGGCGTATGCACAGCTCCTGGGCCCAGGAACGGCCCAGCCAGGGGGGCAGCGGATATGTATGGGTCTCGCCGCCCGGATACGAGCAAACGTCTGCCTCGGCAGCGCAGGCGGAGGGAGGCAGCGCAGGGCCACGAGATCTACATATATCTGTATATATACACATATATATACACATCTATATATATATATAAATATATATATCCACTGCTCCTGGCCAGGCCCATCCTGGCCCCAGAAGTGGTGCATATGCCTCCCTGGCCAAGCCGGGAGGGCGTGCACACCGCTCTGTAGCGAGGGGCAGCGTGGGCAGGAGAGCGGAGGCCGGAAGAGACAGCGCAGCCGCCCGGGCGGGCAACCGCTGCGCCACCGGCCGCACCGCACCGGACGGTGCGCATCCACTGCGGGTGCCCGGACGGTGCGTACCTGCGGGGAAGCGGAAGCTCGGGAGCGGCCAAGAGGGGGGTGTGCAAGAGGGGGGGGTGCAAATCATGACCGGCGGCATGTGCGCGGCCCAGCGGGGGGGCCAGGGACGTAATGAAATAAGAAGAGGCGCCATGACATCTGGGGAAATATCATGGCCCACGCCATGATATCCACCCCCCCCTAGTCATCACCCCCCTCTTTTCCGCCCCCGAGAAGCGCACTGTGACGGGCCAGAGGCCGACCCGCGAGGGGTGGAGTACCGGGGCCGCACCGCAATGCTCGTGCCAATCGCCTGGAAATCCGCACCATGCGTACCCGCGGGGGGAGGAAGGAAAAGAGGTAGCACCAGCAAAAAGCTGGCGATGTAGAGCTGTGCATGCTGAAAAGGTGTCCGCTCACGATGTCCAAGGTGAGCTGCAGCCCGACACTCGAGAGCAACATAGGTCCAAAAAGCGAAACGCCACACGAATGTGTGGCAGACACCTGGATGCTCCGAGAAAGTGCTGAAGCGAAGTGTCTGGGATCCGTCGCCAACCAAACTGGGAGAAGCAGGACTAATCGGGCAGCTTTAAACCCAGGGCCTTGGCAAGCCCGAACAAGCGAAAAGCGTCCTCCAAGAGCGAATTTGGGTCTCCACCACACAGTCGGGAACAGTGGGGTCGCAATGGTATGCCAGGCCTACCCCCAGTGAGCGACTGGCGTATGATGTGGGCGAGGCTCAAAGCCCAATTCGCCGGCCCAACGGGCCAAAGGCGTGCTAAGATCTCCGGTAACTGCTAAACAATACTTCTAGTTCGCGCGCGCGGGGCGGCCCCTGGGGGTCCCCCGGCGAAAAGTACCCCGACCGCCGCCCGACCACTGCTACTCAGAGATGGTTTTCCTCCTGGGTGTGGCTTCTCAGGCCCCCCAGAGCGCGCCAAGAGTGCCCCAAGAGGCCCCCAAGACTGCCCAAAGGGCCCCCGAGACGCCTAAAGAGCGCTCCAAGACGCCGATGATGACCTCAAGACGGCCCAAGAGGCCTCCAAGTGGCCTCCAAGAGGCCTCACAAGAGGGCCCTGAGAGGCCCAAATCAGACATTTTACGATGGTTTTGAAAGAATTTGGGCCTTGTCCCCTTTTCGGCCATCCGATGCTCCAAGACGGCCCAGGAGGCCCCCAAGAGCACCCCAAGACGGGCCAAGAGGCTTCCACGAGGGCCCCAAGAGGGCCCAAGAGGGCCCCGAGACGACCCAAGAGGCGCCCAAGACGGCCCAAGACGGCCCCAAGACGGCCCCAAGAGGGGCCCAAGAGGGGGACCACGAACCAAAACCTCGAGCCTTCCGCCCCAAGAGGGCCCCAGGAGGCCCCGAGAGGCCCCAAAGAGGCCCCAAGATGCCGCCAAGAGGCCCCCAAGAGGTCCCAGGAGGCCCCCAGGAGGCCCCCCAGAAGACTTCAAAAATGCCTCCCAGGCGCCCTCGAACGGCTTCTGAAAAGACCCCAAGAGGCCTCCCAGAGAAGCATCTTGACGACGACCCTGTTTGGCCCCAAGAGCAACACAAGATGCCAACGAGAGGCTTCCTCCTCCGCCCCTTCCTCTTCCTCCTCCTCCTCCTACTTATCTTCATCCTCCTCATCTCCTTCTCATCCTCTCCTCCTCCTCCCCTCCCCTTCCCCATCCTCATCTTCTTCCTCCTCGGCGGCGCCACAATGGCCCCGGGCCCACGGCGAAGCAGTAGCGATCATGCAACATGGGCCGGCGGAATGAGCGAAGCGATTGAATAATTATCACAAACAGCAGGAGCCGACCACTGAAGAATTCGCGTCGCCCCAGGGACCTTGGGACATACGTGGTAACCAAGGGGGGGAGGACGTCAAGCGGCATGAGTATTTGCACCGAGGCCATCAAAGGAAACCATGACTCCAGGGCAGAAGGCAGCAAACCAAATGTACGGATGCCACCATGTCTCAGTCTTTAAATGGCCAACCCTCTCAGTCTTTGAGTGGCCAGCGGTGGTGCCGCACACCAACGCTCAGCACCCAAGGTCAACCTACTCCGCTCCAACAGCCGCTTAGTCGGAGTTGGGGCAGCCACCCGTTCGGGCGCGATGGCGAGGGAACTGCTGGCGTGCCCACTTGCTCACCTTCTGATGCGCGTCGATGGAAGCTGGGCTGCGTCTCGAGCAAGTTGGCCACACAAACGCATTGAGCGACTGAAGAGGTCCACCTGTTCACGCTGGCATCAGAAAACACATGTCCACTCGAAATCTTCTGGTCACCGCCCGAATACTTGGCGGCGCGCACAAGGGGGTAGGGGGAGGGGGAAGGCTTCTTAGAAGGAGGCTGCTTCATGGGAGGCGCCAACCCCATGTACATCTACAGGCAAGGCCCGCGCCCGTGCGGGACCGCAAGCTTGGGGCGACCAGGCGGCCCTCAAGGGACTCGAGGCTTCCAGCGGGCTCAATCGGCTTCAGGGATCTCCAGGATGCCTTCAGGGCATCTCGGGGGGGGGGGGAAGAGGGGGGCGGCGCAGAAGGACCTCGGAGAACTGCATGGGACAGCACTTGTGTGGCGACCAGGACGCTTTCCAGGAGTCTCCAGGGCACCTCCAGAGCACCCCCTCACTGGGGGGAGGAACGACTTCGAAATTGTTCCGATTCGATTCCGATCCGGCTTCAGGGTTCCGACTTCAGAGTCGGTGTGGCGATCGCCGATTTGAGGACCGATTCCAAAAGATTCGACGCGACTCCGATTTCATCCAGCTTCGCGATTCGATAATTGCCCAATGGGATCCGCAGTGGCATTGCGTGGGGCTGCTTGCGACTGCGGGCCCGTGGTGAGGGAAAAAAAACCCTGCGCAACAGCCTCTCAAGCGCTCTCGCGCCTCCCGATGGGGAAGGGCCAGGCTTTCTTTGACCCTCGGGGAGCCCCTCGTGAAGGCGACTGGAAGCAGGTCGGGAAACATTCGGCCACGAGCAGGGGGAGAGAACAACCCCAGCCAGAGGAGCCCGAAGGCGCAATGGAAACATCAACAACCCGCGGAAGCTCCTGGTCTGGCCTTCCGTTCGCGGCGGGTCCGCTTCCCCTCGTAAGTCCCTTGGTCACCGTGTGGCCCCTGTGGGGCCCCCTCGAAGGGCCCTGAAGGCCTCAGATTCCCCTGGAAGGCCCCACGAGGGCGCTCGTGGAGCCCCTCAAGACCGGCGAAGGCTGGCAGACCAGCCCGTGGAGCCATTCGCCTGACAGACCGGGAAAAGGCCGAAGCGAATGGATCCTCGGAGCGGCTTGAGGAGGCCGGAATGGTCATCCCTCGCCGTGCCCCCCTCTCAAACTCTCTCTCTCTCTCCCTCGTCATCTCTCCCCTCATCTCCCCTCCTCTGCTCTCGGCATCGGCTGCAGGCGAGGCCGGCTGCGGCACACCATCGACGGGCCGATTCCTTGGCAGGCCCAGGAGCGACGAGCATTCCATCGTCGTCGGAGGACCTCGGCGCGCCGCCAAATCCCGGGCGCGAATCGGCCAGCGTAGAGCAACTGGGGACCCCATGACCTCGGAGGACCTCGGCGCAAAGCGTCCGCCTGCACGAAGCGACTCTGCCAGACAGTCGACTGCCGAGCGCCGACGACAGGCCAACGTGGAAGCCCCGTGACGGAGCATCAGGTCCGATCTCACAAAGGCCCCCTCTACGCGCAAAGAATTCGCGCGCGCGCTGCTACACGCCCCTGGGGACAAGACTGCACTACACGTCGGTCGGAATGCGGATAAAGCAGATTGGGTCCAGGCCCTCCCAGAGAGAAACAAAACACAGTAAAAGCATATCGGTCATTGAAGTATGAAGGCGTTTGAAAAAGATTGGGATCTGGGAGTCCAAAAGTACCGACTTCCAACGACCGACGTGTACGGTCAGGGCCGAGTGCCCAGGATCATCCAGCAGGACCCCACGCAAAACGCAACTCCTCCACACTGGCCTCATGCCGAACCGTCACGGGCACAGGATCTGCCCGGAGGCTTCCCCGACATGACGCAGGAGCGTGAGAGGTTGCAGCAGAGGGGCAGCGGTGAGGCATATGACGAGAACTGAATCGACATGCTGTGATGAAGTCGCTGCCCAAGATGTCGGCACACGCCCGAACCCAATGGCTGGCAGCAAACGCCCGCTTCTTACAGTTACATGACACTTGCACACCACACGCTACTGCACTCTTCTTTCAAGACGAACAACATTCCGAAGTCCGAACGCTCACCAAAATCCGCTCCCATGCCTGCTGGGCGCCACCCTCCGTCGCTTGGAGCCGCACCCGGCGCAACGACGAGGGCCTCAATCTCCCACTGGACGTCTGGCACCACCCGGGCCGGGCGCGCACGAATGCGAAGGGGCGCTGGGCGCAGGACTGCTCCGGCGCCGCTGGCTTCAGTCTTCTCCTCTTCTTGGCACTGCCAAGGCCTGGCGACGCGGCGCGAAATGACCCGACGGCGGCAGCAGAGCGGTTCTGAAACCAACACGATGCCCCAACCTCCAAATTCAATCAAAACACATACGCCCTCGACGGCAGAATTCCGTAGACGTTTTTCGATACAGAAAAGCACTACAGAAAGCACGCATATCAATACTGTTGTAATGTTGGCTTGGATACAGAAGGACATGATGTGTTTTAACATACCAGCATGTACTATTTGAATATCCGATGCGACACTGTACTATCGTATGCGATGATGCGACGCTGTGTTAAACTATACGATACCACGACGCAATACATGTAGACTGTGTTCGAAAGAACCTGTACTCCACAATCCAGCATGGACCCGATCCAACCAACAAATTGCCCCATGCGTTTCCACACGTTGCACGGACGAAACAGCAATACTACCTAAAAAATAATGCCATGCGGTGATCCGCCAGATCCGGCATAGCGCGATCTTTTGTAAATGGCTCAACGCGGTGGACACCACAACCGTCCTACATCTGAAACAGCGGTCCATGCGGTGAACCGCATCTGGCCCCAGCTCCATCCACAGGAATATCTCTTCATATTGTGGCCCGGTAAGGGACGGTAGAAATGCTAACATGTCTCTGCCATGCAACCGCGACCGTTTACCTTTACTCTTACCTCGACCCTTGCCTTTTCCCTTGGGTGCCCGGCGGACGACACGCCGTACTTTACGAACTGGTTTTTTTCATAACTCGCCTCCACCTGCATTTATGTTTCAGGTATCCTAAGAATAACCATTGCGCCTGTTTTTCTTTCGTGAGGTACGTAAGCATATCGGAGTAGACAAGGGCAACGGACGCGTCGTCCGAAGACGCGTCGGCGCCAGTGCCAGAATCGAAGTCGGACTCAGCAGGTTGCCCCGATGAGCCCATTAGGGTTGTGGCTTGCGTAGGGGGCACCGCGTCGGGCGGCTCCCGCCCAGGAGTCCTGCGACCCCGAAGCCGGACCACCATTCTGAGCCAGTAGTGAAGTGGTCTCTATTGGTTGCAGATCGCCATTCCAAATGTTATTAGCAGGTTGCCCTGCGTTTGCCTCAACGTGGACGGTCTCGGCTCGGTGACCGTGACTGAGAATACCACCAATATCGCCAGGGGTTCTCTCAGCAGTGTGAGCATATGACCTCATGCGTTCCTCGGCATGTGGTGGTTCAGTGGCTGCAGGAGTTGTTGTGCACGCGATGTCCCCACTCCAAGGGTTCTGAATAAAATAACTGTTAGACTTTGAAAGTTGGGGATGTGAAAGCCTGCCGTTTCAGCTTCATAGCGGGCTATCTCGAAGCGTGCCAAAAAATGGTCGATCCGTGCCCCCGCATGGACTCGGAAGTCAATGAGAGCTGTACCAGATTTGAGTTGACGTTCCTCTTCTAGGTTCTCGAATTTCGCACTAAGAGGAACATGATGTAGGTGACGCCATCGGTATGGCGGCCACCTATGTTAACGCCGAAATTGACAACTGCTGGGGAACTCTCATGGCTATGGTCCGCGCGAGGCCCCCAAGCCTCGCTGCAAGGCTGCAGCTTGTTGGGATGGCGTCATGCTGCCTGTGGTCACGTTGATCCAGGCATGCACCTCGCGGGCAAATTCGCGGAAAGGTACTTGACCGGACGGGTCCGAACGGGGGCCGGTTGTCCTTGTGTCGTCTCCGCCACGCAAATGTCCTACCGCGCACCTGATAGCGACCACTGTGAGTCCAAAGATAGTAACACCAATCCAACGGCCTCGCATGTCGTAGTCGGATGCAATCGGTTGGGGTTTGCGGCATGTGGGCGCAAGCCTGCGTGGGGGTGGAGGCGGCACAACGTCGTATCGCATGTTTCCATGCATTATGTCTTCGAAGAAGTTCCCAAATGGAGTAGGTGGGTGGACTTCAGGACTGTAGTAGCGCAAGGATGCAGGACGCAGGTAAGGAGGCTTTCGCGAAGGCAGAAGTGTCGCTGCAACTGTTCTTGCTATGTTGCGTAGTTATATACAGTCCTCCGCGCAGACCCACGGCACCCTGATGTTCCACCACGTCAGTAGTCTACCAGATAGTGCCGTGGATGGTGAGGAATAGAGCTAGAGCTGACCACCATAGGCCAGTTCCACTACCAAGTTTGAAAAGGGTTGGGAAGCCCAACCAGCAGCTTCGCCTCAGGCGAAGCCCAACTCCCGCTCTGTTGTACCGTAGTAACGATAGTCTCAGTAGTAGGGGGCGAGCCATCTCAAGCAGTTTTGGTATCGATGGCAAATGGTACACCTCGCACTGAGATGTAGTCAGATCTGGGCGGCCGGCCGGTTTGAGCCAAGCAGCCGCGGATGCACGTTGGTTCCCACTCACATGCAACACCCAGCTCACTTTAGAGTTCTTCCCCCTCGTCCTCCTCCTAGCTCAATTCCGCCTCCTGCTCCTTCACATTTCCCTCCCGACCCTGGCCCTGCATCCCCCCGCTCGTTCTTTTCATGATCCACGAATCCTCGTCCTCGCCGCCCCCCCCGCTGTGCCAGGTCCTCAGGTTCCCCCGCCCCACCCGTCATCGCCTCCACCCACGCTTCCTGGACATCCTCCTCCTCCGCGTCGCGATCGCTCCGCGCCAGCCTGAACTTGGCCCTTTCGGCCATGGTGGAGTTTCCCCTCTCAACCCCGGATGGCCCAATGGCAATAGCAGCGCTCGCCGCCCCGGACCCCCGAAACGCGAGCGACTGAACTGACGTGACAACCTCGGACGCTACGCACTGAACGATTCAGCCAAGCAGAAGGAAAAACGCACCGAGAATGCAGCACAGCTGACAGTACCAGCGTCAACGGCCACGCACGCCAGCCTGCAAAAATACACACTGAGAATCTCCGAGAACCAGGCTGGGTCAGCGGCGGCGGCCACGCTCGCCAGCCAGGAAGAATACGCACTCAGCTTCTCAGCACTTAACTGGGGCAGCAACAACCGCCGCGCTCGCCAGCCAGAACCGACACGCACTCAAAATTCCAAGACAACTAGCTGGGTCAGCGACAAAAGGCCACGCTCGCCAGCCAAACCAAAAACGCACTGCGAGATGCAAGCCACCTGGATGGGCCAATAACGGTGGCCACGCTCGCCAGTCAGACGAAGCACGCACCGTGAACTTCTGGCGACCTGACTGGGTCTGCGACGATGGCCACGCTCGCCAGCCAGAACGAGAACGCATGAACATTTTCAGGGCACCGCCAAGAAACCGAACCGCAATCACAAACACATCGGTCCGACGCAAAGAAAAATACCCCAGCAGCGCGACCAAGACGACAACACACGCCAAGGCACACTCCAAACTGCACGCGCCCCTACCAAATAAACCCTCCCAAGGCACGCAGTGCGAGCACCCGCGCAGCGACGCACGGAAAACTCCAACCAACACCAAAGAGCGGCCGAGCAACCCACGCGCAGCCGCCCACGCCCAAAACCACGCTGCAAATCAATCGATACCCGCCATACAATTTGCCCAATCTGGGGTCGGCGGCAGAGGCGGCAGCCTTTAGATAACACCACGTTGTGAACATGCTGAACTTATGTTGAGAAGTAACGTAAGTGCCAAACGGGGCCACATGCGCGCGATCGCGCGCGCAAGACAGAATCATTGAACACCCGGGCGTCCTGAATTGAGTTCCCCAAGCAAATGTTAGCCACAGTGGACCCCAAGCAGTGAGATATTCCATGGTGGAAGTGAAAGCTATGACCGGTGAGCTACTCGGCGTGAGCTGCGTGGTGTAAACTTTCGCGTAAAAGCTATCCGGTGTAAACTATGTTGCATGAGCTATGCGGTAGGGCTACGGTGTGTGAGAGATAGATGTGATGCAAGCTATGTGGTAAAAAAATGTGAACCCTATGATGTGAAAGTTATGGTGTGCAATAGATGTTGTTAAAGCTATGTGCTGTAAGCTACTCGATACGGTGTAAGCTATGCGGTGTAGTGTGTGTGGTTGAAGTTGGGATGTGAACTATATATATGCGGTGTGAGCAAAGTGGGGAAAGCTAGGCTGTAAAAGCTAACTGGTGCAACTTATGTAGTGTTCTTTGCGGCGTGGCACGCGCGTGCTATATGCGGTCTGCTATATGAGACGCGAATAAGCTATACTGCGGAAAATATGCGGCGCAAACTGCGCGGCGTGAGCTACGCGGTGGAAGCAGCGCGGTGAAACATATGTGCGGTGCAAGCTATGTGCGTTAGCTATGTGGTGCATGCTCTGTGGCGCGCGCTCTGCGATGAAAACTGCGCTGGGCAAGATGCGTCGTCATGGCTCGTCGGTGACATGCGCGCGGTGAAGGCTACGAGGTGCCAGCACTGTTGTGTAATATATGCAGTGACAGCTTTGCTGCGTGCGCTATCTTGCGTGACGATTTGGCGTAACCTATGCGGCGCATAGTTGCGCGGTGCAACCTGTTTCGCGTAGGCTGCGTAGGGCAGGCTCTGCGGCGCAAGCTATTGCGCAACGCAAGCTACGCGAGAAGGCCAACGAGGCGTTCCCGAGCGGGCGCCGGCGCCAACGTGGACGCGGACGTGCCAGAAAGTCAGCGCATCCCACCTCGGTGCTTACAGAAAACCAGCACGACTCCTAGGTGCAAGCACTGTTACGAAAATGTTGGGAAAAAACCATGGGTTGTGAATGATACCGGAGAAAAACCCCAATCATAATCTTTTTAAGGCTTTAGGGTTATGGGGCTATAAGGCTATAGGGCTAGAAAGCTATGGGGTTATAGGGCTGCAAGGCTACAGGGCCATAGGGCTACAGGGCTATTGGGCTATTGGGTTATTGGGCTCTAGGGCTCTACGGCTATAGGGCTTTAATGAAAGGGGCCCTGGGACACACAAATAAATACACACAAATAAAAGGATTCACCATTTTTTCCTATATGTTCTGGGTTGTTGTCTTCCCCCACACTGCCCAGATTTTCCCATATCTCCTGGGGAATCGACGATTAACTGTGCCTGTGTGTTGTTTCTTCTCT